AATCATCAAGCATCTGAAACAAGTCCGCTCTAGCGCGCAGATCTTGTGGGGTGGCTTGGAAAGTTTTCTGATAGCAATTCAAAACATCCAAGGGGCGATCCAGATGAATTCTGAGATGAAGAAGTCTACCCTCCCAAATACTACGCCAAGAAATTTGGTGAATCTGACAGAACGATCGTCGAACCGCGATTAAGACCCCAGTAGCCTGACGTGGGATACCGCCTACAGCTATAAAGTGCCAGTTCTGGTTGGACCACTCTCGGGTTCATTGCCAGCGAATTTCTTGGAGGACGAGCAGCTGCAAGGGTTGCAGAGCCGCCCACTCCAATATCTCCTCCACAGTTGCACTCTGCTAAGACCACTGCAGTTCCAGCTGAATATATGTACTCGATTCCTCGGATCCGAACGTGCTGGTGTCAGAGGCGGGGCCACGGGGGAGGGCTTGTTATTAGGACGTGGACAGACCTGAGTACCAAGTTCTTTGGCATCAAACAGACGACGGCGAAACCATGCATATCCCTCAACCCTGGCACGTTTGACGGCCCTCCGAAAGCTCCTCTTATGGTTGGAGACCAGGTGATGGTCTCGAACAGTGGGCGTGGATCCATGTGTTTTTGCGGTGCCCCAAGAGGGGTGGACCGCTCCCGTGACAGTCATGGACCTGTCACAACCCTCACCTTTGTCTTGCTCGGAAGGAAGAGTGGGACTCCTACCTAGATTGCAAGACCCGCGGACTTGGGACCACGGACGAGACATGCGGTCGAAGTGTGAGGCCTCCCTGAGCTGGGATGCCATCGAGTTCTCAAAACTGCCGAGGGTACTAATCAGCCTCCAGAGAAAATGAAGGTGAAGCAGCAAAGGCAGCAGTGTGTTCATCAGCCCCTCGAGCTCGTTGGCGCTGCACGCTCAGCGCCCATGTACGAGCACCACGGGAGGCATCGGAGAGCTATCCATCGAGCTCTTGTCTCCAAAACTCCAATATCGATCCACCTCCGTTTACACAACGCATGCCCACCATCTTCCCTCTGCAAAATGGTCTTTGAGCATCATGTGTTTTCCGCACGTTTTGTCTTTGTCATTCTGCCTTGATGATTGGTTATTTAAAGGCTTACGCCTAACAGCCGGGCGCCGGCCCACTTGGGTCTGTGGGGCGTATGCCTATGTTGGCCTTGGTGGGGCCTATATTGAGCAAAGTTAAGCTATTTGGTGCGCATCTTGGCCTAGGTTGGGCCAAGTGGGGCCCATGTGGTCTGTGTTGGGCACATCTTGGGCCCATGTTGGCCTACGTGAGGCCTATGTTGGCCGAGGTTGGGCCTATGTTGGGCCTATGTTGGCGTCTGTTGGCCCCAAGTTGGCCTATGTTGGCCCTATGTTGAGCCATCTTGTGTTGGGGATATGTTGGCTATCTTGGGCCTATGTTGGGGATATGTTAGGCGATTTATGTTGAAAAAATCTTCCGATACAACTTTTTACGACTTTTCCTGCCCGCAAAGCAAAAGCCCTGCAAAAACCTACGTTTTTTGACATCCCCAAGATGAAACTCTCGCCCGCCGAGGGGCCCAAAACCCTGTAAAACACAGTGCTTTATATACCTCACACGCACGAAACACTGTAAATTACAGGGGCTTCAGTGAGCCGGAAGTGACGAGGGGGTCCGCCCGTTTTGGGACCGAGGGTCGGCGGCAGGGGGCGCGCCCGTATATCCGGCCAGGGGCCCACGGCACCCCGCCATGGCTGTGTCTTTGACGTAGGCAGTCTCTCTTCTCCAAAGGAGAGAGGGCTGACCGCCCCTCGCCGCCGACCCCTGTGGAACTGTGTGTTTTACAGTGTTTTTTGCTTCTTCAATTTTTCCGGGTTTGTGGGTCCAGATGGGTCAACATGGCCCAACATAGGCCCTAATAATGATGGAAATGCATGCCGCACCGGGGTGCTTCGTCTGCATCGTGGGTGGCTGCTGGGCTAACAACAACAACAACAACCACAACCACAACCACAACCACAACCACAACCACAACAACCACAACCACAACCACAACCACAACCACAACCATAACCACAACCACAACCACAACCACAACCACAACCACTACTACCACCTTTGCCACTCCCTTTGGGTTGGGCCCCTGGCCGGCTGTCGGGCGTAAGCCCTTAAATAACCTTCGGTTACCACCGAAGGCCCTCCGGGCAGGGCACGGGCTTCGTGGCCGGCGTCCGGATTTCTCCATAAATGGATGCGCGCGTGAGTGTGGGGTTCCAAACAGAAAGTTTCTACAAGATGGCTGAAGCAGCGTCTTACAGTCGTCAGCGGGTTGACACCGAGCTCCGGTAGTGATCAAGTGATCGCCGTTTCTTTGCTTTGGACTGATTTCATAAACAAAACTGAACAAGTGATAGATAAACTTTGAAACTGAAGTCGAGTCATCCCTGTTTGATCCCTGTTTGATCCCTCCCGATTTTGTAGCATATCTCTCATGTGACTCTCGTTGCGGAACCCCGTTAGCGCACCCATGAACAAAAGCCAGGCCTTTACCCTTTTTGTAGCACGTAGTCGTGTCATCTTGAGTTAGCCAGAGACATGAAGAAACTGGATCCGTTGATGTTGTGGTTCGAGTTGGCTATTTATCCAGCCAGAGTAAAGCACAACAAACATGATGGGTCAGCCTGACAATTCTTCTGCAAAATCATGAGCCCATGATTGTGACTGAGTGTGAGGCCAAGAAAGGTCCTACAAAGTTGGGCGCCAATCTATAAAGTCAGATAACGGCCTGGGGAGCTGGAAGATGAGCACTGGCGACTTTGTAGTACAACTTTAGTACGCGGAGTATCTGGGAAGCTGGAAGATGAGAACTGGCGACTTTGTAGTACAACTTTAGTACGCGGAGCAATCTGTGGAGCTGGAAGCTGAGAACTGGCGACTTTGCAGTACAACTTTAGTACGCGGATGAGTCATCTCTCGCGGCTGAGTCATCTCTCGCAGCTGCTCTGGCGCCCCTGCAGCTGAGTCATGTCTCCCAACCCGGCTCTCTTGAGAGGTTGACACACACACACACAGAGACCCACGCACTGCCTCAACTTACTCGGAGACACACACAGACAGAGACTCATACACACACAGACATAGATACACACACAGAGACCCACACACTGCCTCAACTCACTCGACTTAACACTTCACACTGAACACTTAACAGATAACTCACACTCTGACTTCCTAATTGATGAAAAATGCTTTCGGGCCACTCGTCGTCTAGTTTTCTTTCATACGCTCATCGGTCGATGATCGCGTGGACCCGTTTGGTCCCACCTGGCGCCCCGTAGGGCCTGAAGCCTCTCTAGTTGAAGGTGCGGTCGAGGAGTCGAGCAAGTGTTGAAGCTCGGGCTTCCTCCTTTTGGTGTGACCGCAACACCAAATACAAATTGAAAACTGTCTCAAGCACGGACAGCAATGATCCTCATTGAGGCCAATGCTGTGAAACAGTTGGCAGGCACACCACCTGGTAGGGTGTGCTCGTGAAATGAAGCTCACTGCACATTGTTCCGCCAAGGGACCAGCTTCTTCCCACCATGACCTGTGTGCCACCTGCAGGTGAGAATTCATGTCCCGTGGCCAGCTGCCGCACATGATGCGCTTCTTCACAAGCCTGTGGCAGAGGCTGGGGTTGTCAACCAGGATGGTGGTATCCAGTAGACCCTTGCAGCCACTGTCCATGCCAGTTGTCGTTGATGGCTGGGTCATGGATGATGTTGCGCACTTTGGGAAGCCACCAGTGGCAGAGCTGAGAACTTGACCTGCTCGTTGGCGTCGTCGTAGGCCCACCATGTGCCACCGTCCTTGATGGCTGCGCAATAGTGTCCACTTGATGCTTCCGAACCCAAATGGTAGGAGACGCCGAGGACCTGAAATGGGATGTAGCCAACCTCCAGCTTATTGTCCAGGAAGTATGGTAACCAGACCTTAGAGTCCCATGTCAGCCGAGCATGACTTTTCTGTCCTCTGGAGTCAAAGCGGTCAATGTGCAAGCATGTGACGTCTGCTGGTTCTGTGAGAGCGTGTAAGCCGAAGGATGCTAAGCTCCAAGTGGAAACGAGCCCTTGCAAGTCGATTGGCAGGTGCTCTTTTGATCACTGCAGATGTAAAGGTGCAAGGGGCACCCCTGGGCATTGTGGTCCACCACTTTCAAGGTGCCATCCTCCTCAAGCCGGCTTTCCCAACAACAACTGAGGAAAAGAGGATTGGTCTGTTGAAGAAGGTGATGAGCAAAATCAACCACATCATGTTGTCGAAATGGATTTGGCCAATTGGCGAGGAGTGTGGTCCACTGCCCATCTGACCATAAAAGCATGGATTGCCCTTTGGACACATCTGCCATGTCCCCAAGAACCCTGGAAAGTTGGACCATTGGTCAACCTTCAAACCTCCAACTTGGTGTGATGGAGCTATCCGGAAGTCATGGCCCTGCAGATTTCCCTTCGGCGCCGCTGTGAACGTAGGCATAGTGTTTTGAAGAGTATCTAAGTGTTGAGAGTGCATCCATTGCCTAGGATGCCAAACTTGTAGGAGCTGAGGGGTCCAATGTTTTGAAGGCAGGGCCTGATTGACCTGATGAACACCTTCAAGGTCAGGAGGATGAAGACGGCCCACGTGGCCAGACTTGGGACCCTGGCTAGGTCCAGGAAGGAGCGCAAGCAATGGCCGCCGAGGGACACAGTGATGAAGTGGAACTTTGGGTTGATCATGGGGCGCAGGTGCTCAGAAGCGCACCAGCCCCCTAGTGGTCCTTATCATCATCATCATCATCATCATCATCAGCAGTCACGACACAAAAAATCACTCATTCCTCACAATGTTCCCCTTCAAACTTTTGTTGGACTTTCGCCCTGGCTTCTCCGGAGGGTTGCCTGTGGCCTCGTAGTGAGGGGTTCTCAAGGTGTGCACAGAGTGCCGAGATTGAATAGTACAGTATGGCCTCTACACTGCTCTTGGAGAACATTTCAAAGAGGACTGCAAAGAGTTTGCGGCCATTTTCATCACTTCTGCAACAGCTTCAGCAAAGGCGCGGACAATTTTTCTGATCCAATTTCACTTCCTTGCATGCTTGCAATGGGTTTTTGATGCTATCTTTCCGTCCTTGTTAATCCAACAACTCGTTGGTTCTGAAAAAGCAAGCCTTGGACGAGCTTGCTGCAGGCAAAAGTGCGTGCAACAGCCTCTTCCGTATCCTCGTTTGGCTTTGGAGGAACCAATGGGCATGTAGTCCTTTCATGTCCAGAAATGAAGGCTGCGCCAGCTGGGCCCACAGTCGCTTACAACAGTTTTGCAAGTTTGTGTCTGTCTGTCCCTGAAACTGCGCCCGACTTCTGCCACCCAAGGCATTTGCAAGGCCCCATGTGCATTTTCAAGGCGGGCTACCCATAAGGGTGAAGTTAAAGATTGACAAGCAGAAAGGGAAGTAAATCGGTAGAAATAACATGCAGAGAATCTTGGCTTCAGGGCGGCAGGCTTTTCTTTGGAGGGAGCCCGCTCATCCATTGGTCCGGCAAAAGATCAAAGGGGAGGATGGAGTTTGCATTTTAAGCTGCAACTTGGCACAGACCTAGCTGTTGTGAAGTCGCTTTGAATCTTTTCGCAACTTAGTTTTTAAGTTCTCCACATTGAAGGGAACAAGATGCGTAATCAGTGCTGTGCCTGCGTGCGCTAGCCTGGCCTTCACGGTTCTGCGTAGTAGGTTTAGGGAACGAAAGAACGATGTGGTTGGGACGTCAGGTTTAAAACTGCAGCGATACTGTCAGCAGGGTGATGCCTAAATAATCATCCTTTCGTGACAGCGACGTTTCGCAGCTTTGCAGAACACGAACACTTTACAGCTATGAGTGATGTTGTCAAACCTTGGTTGCGTGCGAACTTGCGATAAATGCGCACGAATTCGCGGACAAGTTGCATAGCAATACTGGCTGTCACGTTTTTGTCAACATCTAAGCCAAACTGCTGTAACTGCTGTGGTCATATGACCTAAATGTGCGAGGTCCGATCGATGGGCATGTCCTGCAACTCTTGTCGCACCACATTGTTCATGGAGAGGCCACCACATTGTCTATGAAGCTTTTCATGCTGGCTGCGTTGTTGCAGTCAGCCACCTTTCAGCGCCGCTCTGCCAGGTGGTTGTGCCTGGTGCTTGCTACCTGGAGATGATTTTGGCAGGCTTGAGAACCCACCTAGGACCCCAGGAGAGGCATGGAGAAGTGACATGCTGAAAATCAGCAAGATGTGAAATGCAGTGACTCTGCTTACAGGAGGCTTGGTGTATTGAAAACCTTGGGTTTGCAAAACCCCTAGTCCTGCGACTGTCACAAGATGGCCGACTGGAGGATCGCATTGAACGCATTGAGCATGGTCCTGATGTTTGTTGCGGTTTTGCATGGTTGTAACCAAGACAGGAGCCTGTGCAGCTACGATTGCTGATTTGGCCAGATGGCCGCTTAGAGGCTCGAACTTGCCCACCCGCAAACTTGTCCCCTGATCGTTCCGAAGGTCGAAAGCGAAGTGGGGGACGACGAGAGCATCACCACTCATGTGGAGGAACGTCGGGTCGAAAGCTACGAGAAGAATTGTTCATTTGCTTGATTTCTTTTCATGGCTAGCTTACTTTGTTTCACATTCCGCCTCGCAGGCAAATTGGATCCAACTCCAAGGTGGGTGGCAGAACAATCAGATTGAAAAGGACAAGCATGACTTGGCGAAGCTACGAGAAGAATGTCCTGAAGATGTACCGTTCCAAGCCCGAATCTTCACACTTCACAGCCAGCAGACTAACTGCACCTGAGTGGTGGCAATTCAGTCTTTAGATTGAAGCAAGGTGGACATTGAGCTCATGTACTCCTTTGGGGTGAAGAGCGGACTGCCACTGCAGCCACGCTTCCGTTGTGTTCGTCAGGAGAGCTTTGTGGGCCGATTCAGTGGTTAGCCTGGTTATTCTGCAGAAGTGGTGCTCCTACTGATGTAAGTTTCCCTTGTAACATACGTAAAACATGGTAAATGATAGTGTATTTGGCATGTCCATGTGCCAAACCCCCAGCAAAATGCACATGTTCAATCATTTGCTGCCCACTTCAGTAAATGCCTCGCAACAATTCGCAAGATGTAAGTTTTGCATCACCTGTATTTGCCTCCCATTGGAAAAGACAACAGAAAACATCCCTGTTGCTACCGGCTAGGTGAATTGAGTGTGGTCGAGCACGGAAAAACAGTTTTACTTATTTTTATTTGACGCATTTAGTTAAAGGATTGTCTAAAATGGGTCTTAAACCACTGGTTGCCAGCGACAGATTTGCAAACTTGTCAAATTATATAACCAGTTTGGAAAACATCGCGGTATAGCCTAGCTGTTTGAAGCGGGAACCCGTTCTATTCAACGTCAGTGAGCTATAATATGATGATGTGAAGTGCACGCTGTACACTTGAAGCGTTTTCCACTTTTGACCCCCGTCACCGTTCCCTCTTGAGACTGCGAGGGTATTCGCCTTGCAAAAGGCTGCGCCGTGCGTTCGCTCCGACGAACGTGTCGTTCTACTTGGTTGGTGGACCTAGGGTGCCAACACTCGCTTTGGATTGGTAGAGCCACGGCTCTGGGCGACCTTTGCGCCTTCACCAACGAGGTCACTTTCCCATCCACATATAAAAGCCATGAGAAGTCCGGGAATACTCTTATTTGCTTGGCTGAAAACCTGGACTCTCAATATGTACCTCCCAGAAAAACCTGGCCCAGTGCATCCCAGGCAAACCACTATACAAGCCCTCAGTGACTCGAGCCGGAAGATTCCTGACCAGTGGCACGAGCCGTGCGGGGTGACTTCCCCAAACCCACCGGGCAACCACTGGGTCAAACCGTGCGCCCTCTCCCTCGGACCGGGACCGTCTCACACCGTGGTCAACCGCACGGGTACTGTGTAAGCGGTGGTTGGTGTAAAACGTCTTGGTGGAAGCCACACACTTTACTGTAAATATGGACACAGATACCGGCTGTAAGACTTCTTCGGGACCGGACCTGAATCCGTAAAGGTTGTTTTAACGCTTGACATAAACCAGCATAAACATCGACTGGAAAACTTCTTCGGGGCGGGACTGCGTGACCTGAATCCACACAATTTTGTTATAGAGCTGCACCTCTAAGCTTTATGTTCATTGTTCATCCCATCCTTTTCTGCCACGCTCTTTCACTTTCTCTTTCACCTCTCCCGCCTGTCTTTGCTTTACATTTCACCATCATGCAAGCACGCCAGAGCAACTCTACACCTAAACGCTCTTGGGCCGTCCGTTGTCTAGTTGTTATTGTTGTTCCTTGTTGTTTCTTCAAGCTCCGTTTTTCCAGGATACCGGAGAGCAGGAGCTGACATCGACGTCGCTGTTTAGAACGCCTGAAGGTTCCCGCCCTTCCACCTTCCGGCTTTTCTACCTTTCGTGTCTCCTGATGATTTTGTGGTTGCTCCTGAAGCCTGGATGAAAACCAAAGGCCAACAATGTGAAACATGGAGCATCATGCGCTGATCTGTGCTTGTGAATGTTTCATGATTCGATGCTCGACGGACACTCTCTTGAAACCATTACTTCCAGACCCATTTCAGATAACTTTGCGGGAACATTAAAAAAATATAGTATTTTTTTTAAATAAAATGACTCGTGCAGACCTTTGGTGTTTGACATGGCCTTTTACAGTATTTATATAACCAAGTTCAGTCAGGATAAAATGAGCGGGTGGACTCTTATAGTCGGTAGCAATGGGGATCAAAAGAACCTTCAAACATAGTTTTGCATGTTAGACTGTTCCTTTTGTTAGCCTTGCTTTTCGCAAGGATTTTGTAGTTTTTCCTGGTTCCTAGTTTTTCCAGGAACGTTGACCTATATGTTTGTCAAGAGTCCTGTACACTGTATCGTTTTTTATTTTTGAACTTTAGCTTGCCCTTCTTGATCTTGATGATCTTTTCCAGTATTAATTGGTTGTTTTGTGGTTTTCAGTGTTTCTCCAACTAAACTGATTTGTTTCGGGCTCATGTCGCAGCTCCTGTTCATCCAACGATCTTGAAATAGTTGCTCCTTTGTTTTGTCACTGCTACCTTTCCTTCTTTTTTGTTTTCCCCTATTCATTTAGCTCTAGTATTCGTTTGCATGTCTTTTTTTGAGCCCCTTCCTTGGTTAAATTGATTTGCCTAATCTTCTCTATTTCAGTCTACGTCTCCTGTACTTCTTGACTTCTTCTTCGCATCATTCATTGTTGTGTATCATTCATTGTTGTGTTGTTCGCCACAAACTGTTCGTATTCTCAAAAGGCTTCTCATTTAGTCAATTACTTCTTCTTGCTGCTTAGCTCTTTCGATGATTGGATCCCTAGAAGCGAAATACGAACGACATACAATAGAAGGAGCTCGGCCAGAGAAAACAAGGTTGATTGACCGCTATCATTGCAATATACACCATAACATGTTAATTGCATTGTTTAATTTCAGTTACCATTGTACTTAAACAGTGGCTCTTCCCTTCTTGGATAGGTTGTTTATTATAGATAAAACCTTTACAGAGCATAGCTTAGATTTCTTAGACACGAACTTCAAAACTTGTGATCCTTGCAAAAGAACAGCATGGAACAGCCTTTTGTAGTATAAAGTTTTTGGAAGGCACTGTGCTCATATTAGATGCACTCATACAGTCAAAGTGACGCATGAACACAGTGACAAATTGACAATTGCCTTGTAAACTAGAGGATCTGGATAAGTTGGGATGCATTTCGATACAATCAGAATCTGATCAACGATAAGAATTCCAGAAAGGAACATATATAAAAATAGCCGTGTATGATACAGGGCATGTTAAAACATATTAATTCTTGAATAGTCAATTATATATATAGTTAAAATAAGTATATCGTTGTAAAAGAATCGTGCATTGCAACAGACATGTGTGTTTTACTGTGTGTTTGAGCTTATCATATACATACATTAAGCATTGTAAAACACAATGTCCTGAAGCATCTGAAAGGCTAATTTTACATCATTACCAACACCCACTCTCCTATTCTACAGGTTCAAGTGCAAAAGAAAGAGCCTTCTGGACTTGCAAGACTGGAAATGGAGCGTGATGGTGCGCACCAAACCAACCCGTTTTGCAGCTTTTCTTCTTCAGATTCGAGGAACCCTCAATACGCGGAGGTACTCAGACGGGATTTTTGCTTGGACCATCAGTCATTGACAGCTCTTTCCAAGCATTAATGGCCTTGGCGGATCCAGATGTTGGCATTGGCTCCTTGAAGATCCCTTTGTCAATCAAGAGGCCGATAGTCCGATCCACTTTCAGCTTCAGTGCGGGGTTGGCAAGGTGGTGTTACAGGACTTGCAACTGGTAGTTTGGTAGCGGTAGGTGATGGTAGTAGTCTAGTCTAGGAGTCGTCGCGTCGTAGTCTAGATCAAGGCGAAAAGGCTTTTCAAACGGTGGATCACTTCTGGGGTGGTGAGAGACGCTCGGCCTTTTCAATGAAACACATTTTTTTTTCGATCAAGCTTCCGTGAAGATTATGTTTTACTTTCACTGTGTTTGATGGTGTTCTGTATTTAGGCCAGAACCTGTTTGGAAGATTTTGGAAGAACCTGTTACTGTAAGTAGTTTACTCCGGAGGGCCAAACTCGCAGGCTGCAGCCAACTGGTCGTGCCTACTCCATCGGAATTTGGTCACACTTCCAGCTCTTGGACTGGACGCCGCATTCAACTGTTTTCAGGCGACTCAACATTGATTAGCTCAAACATGCCTCGAGCTTTTTGGCTCTAAGGTTTGAAGACTTCTTTCTGAAGCGCATTCTTTTTGGAAGTGTGCTTTTGAGGTCTTGGATGGTGAATGATGCGGGTGAGAGTGTTCTGTACTTTGACTCAGTGCACTTACAAGAAGTCCGGGATGAGCATTTGCAGAAGGTGCAGCCTTGAAGTGTTTGGCTGCGAACGGACAGTTTATGTGTTTGTTGTTGTCCTTCTCGTCGTGCGGTTAATTTATTCTTGTTATTTGCTTTGTGTGTCGTATACCTGTGTGCTTCTCATGCCTCTAAGTCAGGTGCTGCAAGCGTCTGGCCGACTTGGCGCTGAGCAGCAAGCTTTGTACTCGAGCAATTGGCGACAAATGTCTTTCGACCCCGCCGCCTTGACTCGAAATTAATCGAGCTCAGCGACTTCGAGGTTGCCTTACCCGTGTGCGGACGAGTAGCTACCAAACTTGTGCAGACAAATTGCTGCTAAGGTTGCCCTGCCACGAAGTGCTTATGCTGGTTGGTTGATCTTGGGCCGATCCCAAGATATAAGGACGGCAGTGTAGACACATTGCCAATGATTTGTAGTAATGAGAGAATCGAAGGAGTATGCCTTTACCGCCGAAAATGACAGGTTTGTTGAATTCTGTTCTCTGTGAGGAAGTCTGGACTCAAAGAAGCAGGCTGCCTTTGCATAACGTGCACAGCCCATGGCCATGAAGAAGCCGAGCAAGGAGCAGGTCACGATCATGGCGACTCATGCAACTATCAAGATGAGTCGGTCAGCCCCCGAGCACACAGAAATAAGGTGCTTTTTTCCTGACTCGTTCTTCCTTGCTTCTTTTTTTTGAATCTTGGATGACTTTTCCTTGGATGTGCGTCAAAGTATTGAGTCCTACCGTTGGTCCAAGGCATTGGAAACCATCCTTCGCAAAGCCAAGTTGGTGATTTTTGTCGGTGGCCTCGCGCAAGGCGACAGTACAAACTGTCAGAAACATGGCACAGAAGACGTCGATGTGCTGGTGCTGGCTCTGCACCTTTGTCGCAGCTCTTCAGCACCAGAGCCTGTGAAGACAATGGGGAGCACTTTTACAGAGAAGCCAAGACCATTTTTCTCAATAGCCAGTCTAAACGCCCTTAGCAGTTGCCAATCTAAAGATGTGTTTTCTGGCGGTTTGACCGCCCATCTTCAAGGTGCTGCTTCCCGCACGTCAACCCGGCTCTTCTTTGTGACTTGCGGCGGCTCTGAGCCGATTCATGGAGGGCTCTGGGGCTTTGCGCGGACGGTTCGCTTGGAGGAGCGTTGGCGAAACAGCTTGCACTTTGCACAGTCTTTTGATTGAAATCTTCCCTTCCCTTTTCGTGCGTGTAACATCTTGTAACACTGTAACCTCAACTATCAATTGATGCCACTAGGCTTCTAGCTTACAGCTGAAAGGGGAAAACTTTGGTGTTTGTTTCACAGGCATTGTGATAATTGTGGCATATTGTGGGCTGCACGGCTGCGCCCAATGCCCAACCCCTGCGTTTTTGGCACTGGGTTTTTGGATTTCTTCACTCTTCTGAGATTCCAGCTGCCACGGGTGTAAAACGGCCTGAATGATCAATGGTTCTGGGATGTTCTAGGCCGTACTTGGTTCTTCTGGGTGGTTGTTGCTGATTATGGTGGTGTGTGGTGGGTCGGCTGCGCGTTGTTTGGCGGCGGCACGTTGGTGGTGACACGGCGTGGCTGGTGGATAAAACTCGGAATCAGCGACCACGAATCGTTGACCGTGGCTTGTGGGACGTCGTTCGTGGTGGCAGGTTGTTGGTGTTGGTGTTTCCTTTTTTGGTGATTGTGGCCGTGGGTCCGTGCTGATTTGTGTTGGGTCGGTCATTTGTGTTGGTGAGTGTTCTTGTTGGTGAATGTTTGTTGTCATTCTTCGCGTTTGTCAAGGATTGGAATTGGAGGATACTCGCTGTTGTGAGATGAAGTAGCTGCATGTGGAGCAGGATGGGGGCTCAAGAATGGTGCACGATGAGTTGGTTTTGATTTCGTAAAACATCACAGATCACCACACTACTCACTCACGCCTTCAAGATTTGTATCATTCCGTGTCCTACCTGCTTTTCTTTCCATTGTGTGCACTGTTCTAACAGAAACGGGTGAATGGAAGGATCGTGAGTCCTTCACAGCTTCTTCTTCCCCAGACCAGGTCTTTGGATGTCTTGGGTCTTTGTCAGTCCTGCGCAGAGAGGTTTCTGAATCACGTGTGTGTGTATGTATGTATGTATGTATGTATGTATGTATGTATGTATGTATGTATGTATGTATGTATGTATGTATGTATGTATGTATGTATGTATGTATGTATGTATGTATGTATGTATGTATGTATGTATGTATGTATGTATGTATTTTTTCTACTAAAGGTTATTGCGTCGTTCGCCTTTGGCGGGCTGCTAGGGCTTTGCCTCAGGGCTGCTTGCGCTCAGAAATACGTGACTTCGATCGTGTCCTCCTTCTGTGCAGGAACGGACTCTGGATCCGAGCTTGGCTGGTTGCCCTCTTCCGAAAAACCCGCCGGTGATGGGCTTCTCTTTGTTGGCCCTGTGTCATGAAGACCAGTGAGGTCGTTGCGGTCCGTTACATCTGCCCACGGGCTGGGTGTCATGGCCAAGGCAGGTGGGGCTGTGGCATTTGCCTGTGTCCTGGCATCGAGGTCAGTGTTGAAATGCAACCTCCTCGGGGTGGGACCGGTAGCACTGGTCTCATCAAGGTTCCTGGTGTGAGTGACACCCAGTCTGGGTCGCTTGGCTTGCTCAACCTCATGGTCCTCAGGTGGGGTGCTAGACCCTGGTGCATGGGATGAGCGTGAGGCTGCTTGTGATGCTTGTTCTGTTTGCCTGCGGAAAAGTTCAGTGAGTGGAGTGGAAGACTGACTTCCTGAACTTTTGCAGGGCTTTTTGACAGCCGCAGTGTGAATGAGCCTTTGCTGGCCATCAAGATGGAGAGTGATGCCACACTGTGTGCAAGTGACTCGGTTGCCCTTTTGCCACAAGACATGACTGGTGTGGCCTGCATGCTGTTGTTGATATGGTTAGTCCAAGCATCTTCCATGAATGAAATCCTGGAAGAGTTGTTCATTGCTCCGTTTGTGTATATTCGTGCCACATCGGCTGCATTTTAAGTAGCCTGTTGTCTCTTCCAGCTCATGTTGCCCAGGAGGTGGTCGATGGTCCTCCTGTTGCTGCAGGATTTGCTTGATGACCTGGGTCCTGGTCAGTTTCTTGGGCATTGGCTGGTGCGGCTTTTCTGGAGGTGGCAAGTGCTCCTCTGCAGTGAGTTGCTGGCACTCTTCATTGAGGCGCTCCTCCAGGACTTGCACAGTCAGAGCCTGGTGCACCCGAATTCCACAGACTCTGCGGTGTGGTTCCCATCGATGATGGGGTGCCTGCCAAGGTTTGCAGCATCTGGCAATGAGCTGCTTCTTGTGCTGTTTTGTGTGTTTGCCCTGATGCCGGTCCGGCCGTTGGTGGATGTAGTGCTCTTTGTCCTTGTAGATTTTCTCCAGGCGGTTGATGGCATGGGTATAGATGAGGTGATGATCATCATCGAGGACCTTTTGCCACTCAGTACTCTTTGGGTCCTGGTACTGCTTTGCTCGTTCCCATGCCGTCAGTGCAGCATCCCGCTGCCTGCGCCGGAGTTGTGGTTCACTTCCAGGGTCTGCAGGAGATCTGGAGTTGCGGGCAACATAAAGAACCGTGATTCTTTTGAAGTCCTGCTCTTCCACATATTCCAACTGGTCCTGAAATGGGCCTCGATGCCGTTCCTGGGTCCAGGCTTCCCACACCGTGACCATCTGGACTATGACTCGAACCGCAGTTGTGGTATGTTTGGCCAATGCCACCAGTCCTTCCATCAGTGCTCTGGCCTTGGTGTGTGGTGCCGCTGGTGCACCTGTGATGGCCCCCAGCCGTTGAAGCTGCCCCAAGGTCATGTGATGCGCACAGAGGCCGAAGATCCAAAGTTGATCCCGCTGGTCATAGCTTGATGGGGTTGCATCCAATGTGAAAGCCCACCGATGCTGATGCGGTGCCAGCGGCTGCAGGTTTTGCCATGCCCCATGTCCCTGGTACGGCTGTGGGATGTGCTTGTGATCTTGTGGTTCGAGTGGTATCCAGCCTGCCGTCCAGAGAGGAGTCTCATCATCACTAAGGATTCTTTCGGCCCACTCCGGTGGCATGGGTTCATGCTGTTGAGTTTGATGCCACTTGCACAGCCACAGGATATGCTTGGTGGTTGCTGGGACATTGCAAATTGGACACTGTTTGGGCTTTCCATCCGCCCTGTAGTGAAGGGCTGCCTGGGTCCAGGTCCTCAAGTGTGGTTTGAGTGCGCCTGGAATTCTTTTGAGCACCTGCCTGTATGTGTGCCAGTCCAATCCTGCAACCAAGTGCTGGTGATGTGCTTTGGCCGCCAGCCTTGCAGTTCTTTGGGCCTTGGCTTCACGAAGCAAAAGGCGTTCCAGCTTCCACCAAGGATCCTGCAAGGAAAGCTCTTCTTCGAGCATGTAGGGGCCACTGGGCCTATGCCATCGGTGTAGATCATGCACCTGCCATTGCCACTCTTTCATGTAGGCTATTGCTGCCGCCATCGGACCTTTGACCACATACCAAGGGTGCTGTTTCTGCTCAAGCTGCTGTGCCAGCTCCGTCCATGCCTGTTCAAGGTGCTGGATTTGCTCCGGTGGCCAGCTGTGGTACAGTGTGTGGAGCGCTTTGATGTGATGCAAAATGACCTGATCCCCCGGATCCATGTATTTGTGGCTGTGGATGTCATAGGCGCTATCCAGCATTCCTCCAGCATGGTGCCCTAGATGGGTTGCTAAGCCTTGACGTAAAGCAATTCGATACCGAGGCGCTAGGCCTTGAGCTTCAACGCCCCAGAGTGCGACCGGCTGAATGCCGCCTTTGTGGAGCCTGAGCCGTATCTTCAGGGCAGGGATTTTTAAAGTCTTCAATCGGAGTTTCCGTTGTTTGGCTTTCTGGAAACGTTGTCTCATCACCGGAATCCTCCTCCTGCGAGCTGCTTGGTGATCAATGCCTAAGTCTCTCATCACCGTCGAGATTGGTGGCTCATGGTCTTGCAGCATGCTCTTCAGGGCCTGCTCTGTTTCTCGATCGGTGGCGACGAAAGCAGTCTTCTTGGGGTTGACCTTTAGTCCCAAAGTCGTCAACCTGTGGTGGAGATCTCTGTAAGCTTCAACTGCTTGTTGGGCCACCTGTGTGGCTGTTTTGCCAGTGAGATCGAAACCAACATCATCCACCCAACTAGAGAGGTTGGCCTGGGGCTGCTGTGCTTTCCATGGGATGAGGGCGGGTGCAAGCACTGCTTTTGCCAACAGGGGTGCCTGGGGGCATCCTGCCGGTACTCCACTGTCGACATGGAAGAACGGCGTCATCTCTTGCTCCGCCAGAATGGCTTTGGGTCCACTGTAGACCTGCATAGCTAGTTCCAACAGCAGGGGTGGGTATTCCAGCTTCAGTGCTTCCTCTTGCAATTTGGCCAATTGGATTGTGTCATAGAAAGTGGACATATCCATGAGCACGGTGATGCCATGGTGCTTCCTGGCCTTGGTTACTTCTTGGCGTAGAAGTCGTTGTAGTGCCACATGAAGGACATTGGCTCCAGGTCTTGCCTTGTCATGCTGCATGGTGTCTGGGAGTTGTTGCTGCCACCTGTCCAGCATGGGTTTTCGGAGGCGGCACCAAACCCTCCACAGGGTGGAGGTGAGCGTGATGGGGCGCTCCAACTTCTGGTTTTTGGGTAGCATCACTACCAGGTGCATCTGGAGCTGGGTTGGAAGCTCAGCCGTGCTTTCCATGGTTTGAAAGAGACGAAGTAGTGGCGTGAGGGCCAGTGGTGGGATGCTTTTGAGCATTTGTGTGGACACAGCATCTGGACCGCTGGCTCGATCTGGTAAAGCCTTCAGAACTCGATGAAGCATCCCTTGTGTCAAAGGCTCAATGGTCGAAGCCTGCTGTTGTGCTTCCTGTTGTAGACTGGGCCTTGGGGTGGGTTGATTGTCCTGGCGAATTGCCCAGAGTCCTCCCCAGTCTGCCAGTCGTTGATCCATTCGCTGTGGCATTGGTGTGAGCCGGTAGGGCTTTTCCCACGCTAACTCACTGCTTTTCAGGCTTCTGAAAAGGCCTTTGAGGCCCTTCTGATATCCTTCTTGCAACCATTGCTTGTACTGCAATGATGTCTCTTCATTGGCTTGCTGCTGTGCTTCCTGGAGCTGGTGTGCTATGGTCTGGAGCAGTAACTCAGCAGCATGAGGATCCCGATACCTATACCAATGGTGACTGGCATCGAGGAATTGCCCCCAGGTTGGAGCCCCAACCCAGTGCCGGTGAGCATGGCGGATGCGGTGCATGTAGCCCTGTACGGGTCCATGGCTGGTGGTCTCGGATTGTTGTAGTGCCAAAAGTAGGACAGCCCTGAGTTGTTCCCAGTAAGCTGGTCGCCCTTTGCGCCAGGTATGTGGCTTGGTCTGGGGAACAAGCGGCTTGGTGACCACCTGCAACTGGTATCCGCGCCCTTGTGCTGCCCAAGGATTTTCTTGGAGGAGATATTGCTCGGTCTTGGAAAGCCAGTCTGCCCATTGTTGTGCTGGTTTGTTTGGCGGATTGCCATAAAGCTCAACCACATGTGCCTGTGATTGGTAGGTGGTCCAAGGACGGAAGTCAATATCTGGCACTTTTGGCAAAGGCGGAAAGTAGGGCATCTGTCTGTATTCTCTGGTTGCAGCTTCGATGTCAAACTTTAACTTGAGGAGCGCATGTGGCCTCCAAGGCACAGACCATTCGGTGAGGAGAGATGTCGTGCCTGCCAGGGTGTTGTGGAGGATGGCATAGTCAATAGTGTTCCCAGACGCCAGACAGCACACCCTTTTGTGTGCATTGGGGACTGGCAGAATGTATGTATGTATGTATGTATGGTAATGTAATGTAATGTAATGTAATGTTATGTTATGTAATGTTATGTAATGTTATGTAATGTTATGTAATGTTATGTAATGTAATGTAATGTAATGTAATGGTATGTATGTATGTATGTATGTATTTTTCCTGAAGTTGTTGTGCGAGGGCCTTTTGGCCGGTTCTTGGCTTGCTCAGTCGCTTCAGTAGTGGTGTTCCATGGAGTAGAGTGCCAGCCAACATCTGCCGTGGACTCTTAGCCTTGGACTCTTAGAAGAAGTCGACTTCAAAGGCCAGAGTGTCCTCCGCATCAGTGTCGGTGGACTGCTGCATGGCCTGGAGGCTGCCTGCTTCTAGGCTGGGTGTCATGGCCTGCGCAGGGCTTTGCTCATCCTCCCTCTGTGTCAAGGGCGTGGAGAAATGGAGCCTCTTTGGTCGGAGTGAAGCAACCTGGAGCGGTGATGCTGCAGGTGCTGGCGGCTCTGTGTCACTGGTGCCTCCTGTCAAAGGAGGTGTCGGTTTGAAGAAGGATTGGATCGAGGGTGATCCCTTGAGTCCAGCTCTTTGGCATTCCTTCTGGAAATTGGAGGTGCTGATGATGCGTTTCCTGCTATCAATGTGCAATTGCAGGCCACAAAGGGCGCAACTGATCTTATTGCCCTTCTGCCAGAGCTGGTGGCTTGGATGCCCGGTGTGCTGGCCAGTGAAGGGACAGTCAAGGCATGGACTGGTGATGTATTCATTGAAAGCTTGCTCATTTGTGCGCTTGTGGATGTTGGTTCCACATTTGATGCATTTCAAGTATCCTGTGGTTTCTTCAAAGCTGTGGCGGTCTCGTGTCGGTGCCTGGGCCTCTTGTTGTTGCAGGAGTTGGCGGATGACCTGACTCCTGGTGAGTCTTTTGTCGAGTTTGGCGGCTTCTGGGCTCGGACTGGGACAGGCCTGGTCAGCTTGAAGTTGAAGGGCCAGGCGTTCTTCCAGCAGTTGTGCTGTCAAGCCTTGGTGCATCCTGGTCCCACAAGTGATGCAGGCAAAGCCACTTCTCTGTGGAGCCCATCTGTGGTATGGCTCTTGCCATGGCTTGTGGCACTGCTGGATGAGGTCTTTCTTTTTCTGTTTGGTGTGCTTTCCCGGGTGTCTCTCTGCTTTGTTGTGCAGATAGTGTTGTTTGTCCTCGAAGATCTTCTCCAGCCGCTGCACTGCATGCTTGTATATGGCTTGGTGGTCACGATCAAGCGTGCCCTGCCATGCTGTTTGCCTGCGGTCATGAAGTGCATCAGCCCGCTCCCAGGCTGTCAGTGCGATGGCCCTGCCCTCTTCCGACGGAGACTTGCGGGTCTGGGAGTCGGAGGTGCCCTACACCTATACTTTGGAGAACTTGGTGCTTTGTTACGTGAACTCGAAACGTCTACGCCATCGCCTACATTCATGAGTTCTCCCGTGAGGGTACCCCATTTCCATACCGTCCCTGGCCACTATCGCTCCACGTCTTCGTGACGATGCCATTGGGCAACTCCGTCTGCCCTTGACCGCCTACCAGACCTTTCGTGAGATTCACCGATTCTTGTAGGCTCAACTTTCACCCAACTTGACTCTCGTCCGGAGCTTCATAGAAAAAAACGCCTCCCCTCGGGGAGGCGTGTATTGTAAAGCGCTAATGTGCTCGTGAGCCAGTTCTTGAACTTAACGCTCAGTCATTTGAGCTATGAGTCTAAGTGTGACCAGCTGCATGTTCCCACTTGGGTATGGAGTGTGACCCCTGGTTGGGGCGCCGAACTCACCACTGACACTTGCTGATCGATTCAATGCATGCCGTGAGCCATTTCCTGAGCTCTTGCGCTTTCTCGGGGACAGCTGAACAGATACTGCCGAGTACACGGCGATTGCTAACTGACTGATTTTTCGCTATGCGCTCTTGGGTATTTCACTGCATGCCTCGATCCCCGTTCGTTGCTAGGGTTTTCGTCTAGAGGGCGCCCGAATCGGCTTTACGACCGAATGTCGATTACACCCCTCCCCTCTTTTTCTCTCCTGCGTTTTCTTTTGTTTGTTTTGTTGGGTTTTTACTCAGGCTTGTTTGGTCGCTTTTGAGGCTCGTTTACCGGACCCTTTACACCCACCGAGCAACTGCAAACCAGCGCTCATACGATGCAGAGTTAAAGAAAACCTTCAGAGCTTAAGTAATGCCAAAGCTGTCTACTGCGTCGTTTCCTCTTTACAGTGCTAATTGCATTTGTCAGCTACCTTCTGGAACTTAAGTAAGGCCAATGCTGTCCACTGCGTTGTTTCATCAAGTGCTAATATATTCGTCCGTGTACAACCTAGGTAAAGCCCAAACTGTCCACTGCGTTGTTACATCTTTAGAGCTACCGCAATGAATTTTGGCGCGCCGCTATGCAGCTGTTTGCGTGCACCCACCTCTGTTTCTAAGAGTTTTCGCCTGCAGGGGGTCCAGGCAGTTGTGAGTTGTCCCTGGACCAACGAAGACGGACTCACAACTGGTGAAGCGAGAAGGGACGCCTTCTTGTGTACCTGCATTAATTTTTAAACATGCAGTATCGTGAAGCGCTACTATGTTCGTGAGCCAGTTCCTGAACTTAACGCTCATTCATTTGGGCTATGAGTCTAAGTGTGTGTGTGTGTGTGTCCACCCCTGGACAAAGGGTTTCGTCCCACTTTTCCACT